TTTAGTCCTATGTTGTTCCACCTTTTCTGGTGGAACAAAAACCATCAAGTTTTGTCCCATGAAATTTAAAAATAGTCCCATCTTGTCCCATGTATTTTTTATCCGTGACATGCCAAACATGAGACTATTTTTTTTGTCCCCTCCCGTCCCATCTCCCGTCCCATGTAGTCTCCATAGCAAACGCACCCTTAACCCTTAACGTCCCATCTCCCGTCCCATGTAGGGGGTGTTTGGGAAAGCTTTTCAAACTGACTTATTGACTTATTTCAGTTTGGTACCGGAGATAAGTCATTTCGGAGTGTTTGGGTAAAAAAAAAAGAAAAGTGCTTATACCGGTACCAAACCGGTAATAAGTCGTTTTTTATAAGTTAATCCATACTGACTTATGAAAATTGACTTATCACCGATTTACCATTTTAACCCTGTCTAATAAACACCCCCAATCGATCACGTCTCCAACAAAACACGTCTTCTCCAAATCGATCAGATCTCCAGGTTACAAGTTTCTCCAAAATCGATCTCTTCTCCAGGTACGTCTTCTCCAAATCGATCTCTTATCGATCTGTTCTCCGATCATCATCTCCTCTTCTCCAATCGATATCTTCTCCGATCATCATCTCCTCTTCTCCAATCGATATCTTCTCCGATCATCATCTCCTCTTCTCCAATCGATATCTCTTCCCCTCCATATATACATCATCGTCTACCCTATACGATGAACAAATCGATACYCTAACCSTAGAGATCGATAACCCTATACGATGAACAAATCGATACACTAACCCTAGAGATCGATAACCYACATCTGTATCAGTAGCCATAAAATACAGGTGCATCTCTTGCTCCTCACCATACAATCGCTCTCCCGCCTGCATACATTCTCCGACATCGGTTCTCTGCAACGTGACGTAACGCCATAGATTTGACCATCTTCAGGTAAATTTTTTGCTAATCGATCTTGTAATAAGTTCTATAGTTTGTTTTTGTGTAATTATATGAATTGACCACCAGATTGATACGAATGCCAATTAGTTTTTCTGTTTTGCCTGTTGCGTCGTAGGTAATCAATTTGTAAGTTGAACCCGTGGGGTTCTAACACACTGATGTTTTTGGACAAGAATTTCGGGTTCTTATATCACARTAGTATGCAACAGACTGGAACTGAATTAGGCTGATATGTAATTTTTTGCATCTTTGATTCAGCTATGGAGTTTTACAGCAATCCCCATTTGGACTAGCTCTTATATTTTTCTATTTTMTGGGTTTCATCTACATCTATGGGTATGAAACTAGGAATAATTTGACTTTCTACCTGTGGTTTCATACTGTATTCCCTCGATATCATTCTTTAGTGATCACTAATAAATATTATTTGTGATAGTATGATGATGGCATCACCTTGTCCTAAAGGTTCACCTGGTCTAGTAGATTGGGGTGTTGAACCTAAATCAGTAAATTGGGGTGTTGAACATAGATCAGTAAATTGGGGTGTTGAACCTAGATCAGTAAATTGGGGTGTTGAACCTAAATTAATCGTTCATATCCTTCCCTTAGTTGAAAAAGAAATGGATAGAATATGAATTGGGTTGCTGTCAAGTAGGCTGCCAAGTTTTGTATAGCACGTCATTGAATGAGGGCTGTAGGAAATATCCCATAACAAGATCATCCAAAAACTCCCCCATCCCTAAAAACTCATTTATACAACAATACGGAAACTGAATGCATTGGTGGTCTTTTTATTAACTTTGTTATTCAGGTAATGGATGCGAACAATGCTCCCGTTGTTGCTAGTGATACATCTAAAAAGAATAAGGCAAAACTTGTTTGGGATCATACAACCTTTATGGTGTTCATTGATTTATGCATGAATGAGGTTAAAYTTGGGAATAGACCTACTAGTCACTTCAATAAGGTTGGGTGGGGAAACATAGAGAAGAAGATTAAGGAACGAACAGGAAAATCTTTTGACAAGAAGCAACTTAAAAACAAATGGGACAGTATGAAGAAAGAATGGAAGTTGTATGATCGTTTAATGAGGATTGAATCTGGCATTGGATGGGATCCCGAGAAAAAGACAATTGTTGCATCACCAGAGTGGTGGGACGAAAAAATAAAGGTACTACTTACTAATATATATATATTCTTTTGTTTGCTATTACTTTTTTATAAGTTCCTAGTGAAATTTGCTAATAAGAGCTATTAACACACAGGGAGATAAAGATCTTGCCAAGTTTAGGGACTTAAATTTGGAGATTTATCAARTGTATTATGAGCCTTTGTTCCGGGATTCCGTTGCCGTTGGAGATAAGACTAAGGCTCCCTTTGAATGTCAAAACAATAGCGGTCCAACTAATGTTGAAGATGAAGAAGATCATGAGGGAAAAGGAGATAGTGATGAAGTGAATTTAGGCGACGATGATAGACTTCTTTTTYCGCAAAGTAGTTCGAGTAAGAGGAAGAAGCCGAATAATGTCRCACCTACCYGTTCAACCAAGGGAAAATCTTCTGTAAGTTCCTCATTTGAGGATAAACTAGATACTGTATTGGAGGCACTATCATCACGAAGCACACAAAGTTTTTCATCACMGAATAATTACTCACCAACGACACAAGAATGCATGGACATTGTGACAYGTTTTCCAGGATTTGAAGAAGGTTCAAAGATGTATAGCCAAGCATTACRCATCTTCCTAAAAAAGCAAGTCCGTGAAAATTTTATGGTTCCAAAGACACACGGGGCGAGGATGGAGTTTCTTAAGTTACTTATGGAAGAATGATTCATATMGTGTATTATCGTTTAATATTGTGATACAATTGTTATCCTCTGGTTTCATATCTTGTACTATCGTTTGACATTATGTATGACGTTTGACATTATGTATGATGTTTAATATTATCTATGCTATTTATATGCATTTTTAATATGTTTGATTTTTTTTTATTAATAGGATGGATAGTGATGACTCTGATTCGAGTAATGATAATGAAATAAATTGGCTGGAAGAGGAGAACAAATTCCTACTATCATGTGCAATAGCTGTTAAAGGGATAATTATAAGTCATAAATTGAAACGCACGCGTACGCCTTGCCGTACATCTTCTCGGACAGGAAACATATTTATCAATGAAGTACTTAACGGTCATCCTAGACGTTGCTATGAAGATTTCAGACTACATGTCCCAGTATTCAAAATGTTATGTTCAGATCTTGCTACACGTTAYGGGTTAAAGCGAACACGTAATATATGTATTGAGGAATCTGTTGGTATTTTCTTGATGACTTTAGCACATGGGTGTGGGAATAGGTTAATTCAAGAAACCTTTAATCACTCTGGAGAGACCATTCATAGGCATTTTCATGCTGTTTTGAAAGYCGTGCTTAAGTTAAGTGCGGACATCATAAAGCCAAATGCAAATTACAATGAAGATGTACCTGCACATATTTTAAATAACTCTCGTTATTATCCAATGTTCAAGGTACTTCTTATATTTTGCTTTGTATTTGACCGTAACATACTCATAGATTAATTAATTATTTTACTTATATGTGTAGGATTGTATTGGTGCTATCGATGGGACACACGTAAGGGCATCGGTTCGAGAGCATGAGCAAGCAAAATACATTGGTAGGAAAGGATATGCGACGCAAAATATTATGGCAGTTTGTGATTTTAATATGTGTTTTACGTTTGCATGGGCTGGATGGGAGGGAACTGCACATGATACACGTATATTCTTCGAAGCCTTACGCAGAACTGAACTTAAATTTCCACATCCAATCGGTGGTTAGTATTTTTTATTTTTTTTGTAATGCAAACTTTTATGTTTTCTTACCATTTGAAACGAATAACGGTAGTTTGTTTATTTTTCGTAACAGATAAGTATTATGTTGTTGATGCCGGATATCCAAATACTAAATGTTATCTTGCCCCATACAAAGGAACAAATATTCGTTATCACATACCTGATTTCCGTCGTGGACAAACTGCAACAATACGTGCTCCCAAAGGAGCAAAAGAGACATTTAATTATTATCACTCATC